GTGTGTGTGTGTATAGGCATGACACTTGCTATAAGAGCCAACTGCGCATATCCTTATAGTTCTGTAGGTAGTCTAGTCAGCCATATTGCGTGGGTCCAATTCTCATCACGAATAAGACACACATTTGATCGAATAGGCACATACATACACATGAGTGTGTACTTATAATTGACTACTGCAAGCCATATCATTTTCACATTTCTATAGTACATTGATGGCTATCTCTTGAAGATCTTAAAGCACTCATACCTGCACACAGTGGGTGCTGCCTGTAGCTCGCAGCTTCCACGTACCAAGTTTTCAGGCTGAAGGATTAAATATGATGCAAAAGTTTGACTTCTGTCAGTATTCTTATACCTACAGTGACATATATTTGTCATTTCCATCGCTTACCCACTACGCATTTTATCAGCATGGGTTGAGGGGTTCAAAGCTATTGATGTTCCGATATCAGATGCGTGGATACCCCATGCCTCATTTCTCCTCAACTCTAATATCGGCGTCGTGAGTATTGTTCGCAAACAGTGGAGTACACCAACGTAAAGCAAGTGCAAGCGGAAAACGTTCTCAGGGCAAAATGAACCGTATTCTTGGACCATACACGCACACAGCGGTTAACAGAAAATCGGAATCGTTTGCACCCGTGACGTGAGTCTTTTCATTTTGACCAGAGCTATCAGAACTAATAGAACCGAACTATACGCATTCAAATGGGCACAGTTCGCACTTAGCAAGACTTACAACTTCCTGGCCCAGCTGAGTAATCATGAATAGCTCTATACAGTATTGCTATTGAAAACCAGTACAAGCGAGCTTTCTTCTTAGTTCACTTGACAAAGTGTAACAGCGATACTGTTATAGTACTATATGTGTTAAGACCGCTGGATCCAGCTGAGATATAATGAAGTGCACTACAACACTCGCTATTATGAACCATTACAAGTAAATTTTCTTCTCTGTTCACATGACAAAGTGTTAAATATAGTACCAAAATGGGTTTGACGGTTCCAATGGAATTCACTTCGACTTGGTCATGTTTGGCGGGAACTGCGGGGCAGCCGAGCGCCTCAACTGAGTTGAGAAAATGAGTGATGGGATATGAATGAGCAGCTATTTATAGAACAGTTGTTTTGTAGAAAATAGGTAAAAAGGGTCGTAATAAGAAGTACTGAGGGTGAATCAGCGTAACTATCGTAAAACCCTAAACCGTAATCAGCTTAAAGCTATACTAAAACCCTAACGCCTAATCAGCGTTAAGCTATGCGGATCTCCACCATCGGATACTGCACGTACTAGTACTTACGGCTAGCTATATGATAACTACAAGTAGCTACAGAAATATCATGCATACATATACGCGAGATAGCGCGCGGGAGAAACTCACTTTCTGAGATGGACATGAAGATAGTTCGGTACTCAGCGGCGGCCTCGAAGTCAAAAGCCACGGGTTTGCAGAAGGGGTTGTCATCCATGTTTCGATTTGATGCAATCGTCAGCTCCACCTGATAGGTAAATATAAATAGATCACCATTCAGTTTGAGAATTGTGCATGTGCACTCATCAGCAATACTATCCATTTTAGCCGACAAAGCACATTTTTGAGATTAATTTACATAATCCGTATTACAAATGAAGCTTCCACCTTACTCTGTTGTGTATTCATTAGTTCGTGATTTTTTTTTACTTGAACTGATTCGGGCGAACGATAACTATCAATACTTCTCTAATTTGCAATGACAGTGTGTGTACGTTTATGTATCGGAATATAAATATATACACGCGCATACTCACACTTGTAGATGTAAACCTTCTGAAGTGTGCTGCTATGGGTAATGTTGATGAAGTAGTGCGCACCGATGAGATGTCGTATGGGAGTCCAGGTACCAGATACACTGCATATACCCTACGACTACAATGCATTCATATTATACAAGGTTAAATTTACCCTACAACTACAGTATAATTATACTAGAAGATTAAATTTATCTACAACTACAGTACGATCATATTATACAAGAACTACAGTATAATTATATTATACAAGGTTAAATTTACCTATAACTACAGTACAATCATATTATACAAGGTTCAATTATCGTGCAAAAGCACAGCCACTAGCCACACACGGATGCACACAGATTGCAGAAGTTAACTCGAATGCTGATGCAAAGTACAATAAAAATTTCTCAGCAAGTCACTAGTTTCATACAGAGTACAAAATGTCGTATAATATTTCACGACTGGCGTACCTTATTTTGCCTCAGCTTTCCAAGCACATCCTCAAAACTCATGGTTGAGCACAGCACATTGTTGATCTGTAGAACCCGATCTCCCGCTACTACCAAATCCTAAAGACCAATATGTATATATATATAGGCAATTGGAGTTGTGAAATTTGGGATACTAGAAAGTTGGGTGTGGGGGTGAATGTTTGTGTTGTTTCTGGGCTTTTCGGTACCGAAGCACGCATACAACTCAACGGGACTCAGATATAGATATTAGGCACTGGAATTTGAAAGACTCTTTCGAAAGGCTCCCTCTCCACCTAAGCTGAAACTCGGAGATTGCTTATTTACTCATAAAACCCAAACCGTTGCTGCAGTGACAATCCATATCAGGGTTGCTATCTGTGGCAAAATCAGCAAAAGCTATCAAATTAAATCATCTACAACCGACACACGCATATATCTGGATTACAAATACACTATTGTCTGTTTATATACATGCAAATAACTTCAACGTCTTTTCTATACATCAAAACCAGCAGTATGTATCGAAACATAAGTTTGATACAAACCAAAACCATCCCAAGAGTCGCGATCAAGCTAACAACTTGTATAAGGCTTTGACCCTCGTACGTGTCAAGACTAGCAGTGCATATCACATTATATTCCAATACAGAGCACATCCACCCACCTGGGTAGCGACCACGCTGTTGGCCGTAATGGCCCATATAAAGACCCCTTTTTGAGTGGTATCCTTGTCTTGGCAGATCACATTGTAACCATGGCTTTCCTTGGACGTCTTACTCAGGCACACTTGGTACACGGACTTCTCTACCAGCAGCAGCTTGCTGAGTCCGTATTGGGTCAGTGTCTGGTGTACATTTTCGGATGCGGACGGTGTTCGGCGTACACCCATATTATCCACCCTACAACAATTCAAAAGAAAGCATTGAATAAAGCTATAAATAATCAAAAGTATTGCATACAGCTATAATTAATCTAAATTGTAACATAAAGCTATAATCAATCTATTGAAATTGGCTAGAAATCTGAGCGTATTCGCATTCTTCAGCGCTGAGCAAACTTTGCGGTCCTGCGGATTGACGGGCGCACGCGCATATGGTGCACATTGACACATGAGCGATGATAGTGAGATGCGAAATGGGTTGATGGGCTTGTCTGTGTATAACTAAAACATCTCACAATATGTCTTAGAAATAGTGAACAGGTGGGTGGTCGCAAACGCAAGAGTGCAACGAGTGCCAATGGCAGTAAACGTGGTGTTGCTGGGGTCGTGTGGAATATGTCAAAAAGCCGAATGTACCGGAAAGAGTTTAAATGCTCCTCCCCCCACACATACAAGAGTATATAGGAACAAAATGAGATGCACATACGCAAGAAAGTATCGATCCATTGCCAGCCCCTTCCTCAAGCACAAACTCTCGAGGATAAGCGTGAGAGTGTCGTATTCGTTGGCCTCACACACTGTCTGGTGGCCGTTTGTGCCTAATGTCACAGTGAGACGCACCCGCCCACTCTCAGCCACTGGTGGCCCCGAAATAGGCGACTGTGGAGCGAAATAAGAGATAGTAAGGTTGTGTCTGCTTGTATAAGTGCATAGTGTTCTTGTTATCTTCATATATAACCCACTTTGCGTATCACGGAAGTACAGATTGCTGTGCGGCTATTTATGGGAACCGTTTAGGAAATCTGGGATATGCCTGCTGGAATAAGATAAGCAGATATTGTCATGCCAATACAAACCTCTCAATGGCGTACAATGAGGCATGATCATATAAAATCACTATGGACGACATACACGAACTGTATACTCAGCACATGGAGGACACCCGCAAGCTGTAAACATATGTGTTCAGAACATTGATGACACACTATAGAATAGCATAAGTACACATATAAGCACAAGGATGTTTCGGACACGTACTGATATCCACATACGTTTAGGCTTGGTCCATTGTTTCGTCCTTTCAATGGAATTCTGAGCCGTGGGCGGACAGATGGTCTACGCGACATTGATGGACTATTGTTCTATCAGGGTGACAAAACGATGAAGATTAATATCACAATTGCAAAATAACGCGACAATGGTAGGTGCCATATATACCTTTTTAGTTCAAGATATAAATACAAGGAAAACGTTGCGACAATCCCAAATATATA